TCTTAGGCTACATATTTGATCATCACTGTTTCACCAGCGAGACTCACAGCGTTTCTGAATTCGTACTGTAGCTCAAGGGTTTCAGGACAAACATGGCTCGGAGCGAGTATTCACCGAGCTCGTCACTGGCAAAACTGATATTCGAGTCACTTCTGCCGTAATCACCGTCGACCAGAAACCTCGGACTCGGGTTCTTGCCCGAAATCACCCAGTTCTCGTACATGAACACAGCCCCGGACCTATATATATTCTCTGGACCATCGTCCTTGCCGAACGAATCACTCCCACATGGACTCCCCCGTATCCGCCAATGTCAACACCACTATCGGTGCGCACATCAATAATCCATCTTCGTAGATTAACGCCGTTTTGCAGGTGCTTTGCTGATCGGTGTCTTGATCTCATACATGCTCTTCGGAATAACTACCATCCAGATGTATATTTATTACACCCGGTTCCCAGAAGACTCTTGCAGGCTAAAGGCGCTGGTATGTACAGCGAGGAAACACCGTGGGCATGACTGACTATCATCCTTAGGTTGCATTTGTCTGGTAAGTTCCCATGTCCTGGACCTCACAGCCGCGACTGATAGAATCTATGAACAGGTTATGTGAGCTAGCGCACGCATTGTGTATCGGCCACGGTCTCTACGTGTATACAATATCCGACTACCTGCATCCGGAACGCCTCCTTGGCGCCGTTCCAAAATCTCTTGCGACCACCATCGTCTTCTCCGGCCTCGTAGTAGCATGCGGTAAGTGACTTTCACCTTGAACATCAAACATCTTCCCATTTGCTCCCAGTGCAAGGCTTTTTCTCACTCCGAATTTACCGTCTTTCCAATAAACTCGCCATTCCTGTGATTATCTGGATTGGAGCCTTCTTGCGCCTGGTGATTCCCATGATAATTTCTGCCTTTGCGGTGGAGATGAAGTCGATAGTGGGCTTCGCAGTGCAGTGGCAGTGGATCGCAAATCCTCTCTGGATCATCAGCACCGCGAATGACGTGACCATCACAACAACATTGGTGATCCTCCTCCACAACCAACGTGCCAATGCGTACACGGGAAAGTACGTGCTCATGCGCCTCTCGAATCTAATGTTGATAAATTGCTACTCAGTACCATGGCACTAGTAGATAAAATTATCCTGTGGACCATAGGTGTGTCGAAAAATTTGTATTCATGTCCTGGCTCTGCTCACAATTCTTGTCGCAGAGACTGGGATGTTGACGAGGTTTGACGAGGCTTCCTTTTTGTCGCATCTCATTTCACAATTCTTCTAGTGCATCGGGAATCATAATATTGATCTGTGTACGTTCGCACCCTTGGCTCAAGGTTAAGCTCTAAATTCCTTTCCAGTTCGTAACGATGAAAACAAACTGTATGCACTCAAAATAAACGCTCTATGCTATCTGATTTAGTTCGCAGTCATTTGGCTGGCAGTGTGGGTTGTCAACACACGACGTGAGTGCGTCTTGTTCTATACTCAAGTTCGAGACTCAACTCGCGCATACCAGTGTTTTCAAACTCGCTCCTCGCTAGGTCAGCTAACACGAAGTTTGAAATCCTTGTATACTGACGTGGAGGGATATACGGAGTTTGAACTCAAGGACGACGCTCCGCGCAATGAATGAAGTTTCTATGCCATCTTTGCACTTCACAACCGCTGTGAGATTCATTTGCTCTGGCTTTCAGGCATTTTTTCATCTACGACGTTGTGGCATAGATTGGACTACCCTCGCAAGTGACGAAGGGGCGCGACACAGAGCCCGGCCGAGTTCAGTCTACAGCAGTGTCTGGTTCTTGACCAACTTTGTAATGTAATGTAACATAGAGAGGTTAGGTTTGATCCTGTAAAACAATGCGGCTAACCGTCCTGAATCTTTTACTCATCTTCAACCTTCCTCATATGCCGGATAAACCATGAGAATCTCGGATCAATGTTCGAAACTCGTTAATGCTTCTTTTTGCCTTCATTCTTCCTTCATACGCACATGTCGCAAACAGGTCTCAAGGTTTCTCTGAGAGCTACTCTTCTTGCCAGGCACATTCTGAATGCGAATCCTTATAGGCACAATGCTGACAATATTGTATTTCGGTGCATTTGATTTTCTCTACAGCCACGTCCACTTCACACACGAAATTTGCAAGGTGCAGATATCCGGCGTCGTGTATTAAACAGTGGCACTAATTTCACCCCTTTGAATGGTGCTACTTGAGTACCTCGCAGGCCATAATATGTATTCAATAAGAGAAACAGCATTTGCGGGTGTTTATAACGAGGCCAACGCTGGGCAAGATGTGGTCGGAGTAATATCCTCAAGTGGAAACCTCCCGATGGGCATGCATTATTGTTATCGCTGGTTGTGATTTATATAATATTCCTAGTGACTTGCTGGCATTTGAAGCTCCTGTGCTGAAGATCCCCGAGTCGTATGAGTCTGCTACTGGGAGGCCATCTGAACCATAGACGCGCTGCTGGTCATGGGCGGCACAGAGCCATCTGGCTCCGGCGTACGCGACCACGTGAGGCCGACACGTAGGTGGATGAACATGTTGGCCAATCCAATTATGGGCGGCGTCAGCTGCGCCGTGAGGGATTGAGGAACCGAACCGGTCTGGTAGGAGACCGCAAAGAAGACGACCAAGGCGCTGGCGTGTATATTAGGCAAATGGCTGGGTAATCGCGGAGAGTCAGAACACACATCCACATCGCAGCGCCTTCCACCAGAATGGCGAGCACAGACTACCAATGATTATCAGAGACAGAGAAAGCTGCACTGCGATAATGTGCGCGTACCATCCGCGGTTCATCTCCGGTCTCTTTCACCGCTCGGCTGGTTCTCCAGACCTTCCACGCAATAAATGCTGCAAAATCGATTTAATCAGTAGCAGACAAAGAGATTCCACTTGGCGCACCTGTACAATATATACTTGTGCTACAGTGAGGTCAGTTGATTAACCCAATCTACGAGAAAAAAAAATACATGCATCGTATGGCTTGCGAAATCTTTAGTCTCTCTAAGACGGACACTCTATAAAAATTGCACTCGTACCTCGCGTTTTGGAGTCTGTTAGTTACCGGGTCCGATAAACGGCGTCCAACGTTATCAAAATTGATGGCCGATGCACGACCAAATAACGCGTGTATTTCACGCATCGACATCCAATTCGACGTGACATTTAGGAGTAAAAGCGACGAGTCAACCTTCCACGTCATCAGACTTTTGACAAATAACTTGTATGACCTTGTACAAGGCCAAACAAGGTCACAAACTTCACCAAAACAGCCGCAAGCTCGCAAGGCCACAAACCAAGTCCAGAAAACCACAAGGTCACTAGTTCATCTCTGGGATGTGGCAAAAATTTATTCCTTTTATTGAGCAGATCAATGCATCGGGGTATACCACAAGTGGAACACGCCAAAGAAGGTGTCCTTTAAACTCTGACAGCTATTTTGAATCCGGCTCTTTATTTTCGAAGGGGTGTTTGTTGTCGTTTGACCTTGTAAGCCTGTCAGCAAGGTCACAAGGCCAAACAAGTCACAAGTTTTTTGTCAAAAGGCTGATGGTGTGCCACTTCAGAATTAATGGGTCCAGGGCCTTCCTGCAAGTTATTTTGACATCAGGCACTGGTTGAACATTTCAAGTTTTTCAGTGAAAAAACTGGTGAAAAATGTTTTGAATTTTACAGCAATTTTTCAGTGAAAAATCAAGTGAAAAACTTGAAACTTTTTCATGAATTTTTTTAACTTCAAAACATTTTCAGCAATTTTTCACAAAATTTTGACAAGGTTCAAAAAGGTCATCAAAATGTTTCAAGTTTCTCACCTACTTTTTGGTTGACAAACTGCTGTAAAATTCAAAACATTTTTCACTAGTTATTTCTATGAAGGCCGCCATTGGACAATAATAAATCCCTTTGCTTTCAGAGAAAATCACAGGCGATCACAGACTTTCATTCCGTTTCATAAGCTCTCCAATGAGTCATCATGATCCTCACAAGCTTTCACAAGCTTTCACAACAATTCACAGCCTTTCACGACAGTTCATCGTGAATTTGCATATGACAGTTCATTATCATTCTTGAGACAGTGTAGGAAGTCTCGGAGCGGCACGAGCAGAGATTCAAATGCTTCAGTCAGGTAGGTTCTTTCAACTTTTCATACTTCATGTAAGTTGAATGCATTTTTCAATTACTAGAACTGCTCCTTGGGGAATATATTTACCTTCAAGAAGAAACTGCATTTAAACACAGCTAGAAGTGGAAATCTACCATGTTTCTGCCAATTTTCTTTGCAGAAGGGTTGCACAGAAGGAAAAAGGTATTAACCTAGAAATTCCAAATCCAGTGATAGCAAATACACCTCCAGGCATTTGCGGGAAGCCGGTCTGTTGCCGAGAAGACATCCATGGACCATCACCCGATTCACTGGCATCTTGCTTGCTCAAAGCCATTGTCATCAAACCTTCAGGATTCACAATGATCTGTCATGAAATCCTAAAACAAACTCAAAGTTATATTTTGTCCAACAACGGCCACCAAATATTTCGCTGAAAAACTTGAAATGTTCAACCAGTGAGGTGCTCTTTTCGGCTGAGGTGAGAAAGTTACAATTTCAATGCTTTAACCAGTGCTCTCCTCAGATCTAGCAAAAAGATATTGGACAATGGAATAAGAAACATTCCAGAAACATAGACACGTAGTTTTGTGCTCTTGCTGCATCAAAATGGGTCAGAACGCGTTAATGGCTGCTCAGGTGATATCCCCAAATGGAGCGCTTACATAATAACCTTATCGACTACTATGATAGCTAGTGTTGCCACGAGGTGGAGGCGGCTTGAGCTGAGTTTCAGCTTGCCTCGGACCAATTAAAACAGATCAATCTCTGAATCATCTATGGATAGTGGTTTGGCCACAGGACCTGAAGAGGCGAAAGTGGAGAAGGTTTAGGCCATTATAAGGCTAATATTGTATCCGTGTATTCAAGGTGCTATCTTCTTCCTGGTGTAGTGGCTAACACCTTCACCTTCTAACTTGGTGAAAAGTTAGGAGGTCTGGTGTTCGAATCCCCTGGGCGGATTTGCTTTTGGTGTTTGGACAGGACTTAAGTGCTTGGGGCCTTAAGTGGTACAAGACTTAAGTTTCAGAGGGTGTGGTCCTCACATTTACAGGTCGACCGCATGCAGGGCAGAACTTAAGTTCCGCAGGTCTTGAGTTCCGCTGTTGTTCAGACCGGGATCAACTTAAGTTGAGCTCCTTCAATTTCATCTAATGATAGCGTGGTGACCACAGGACTACGAGATCTTCGAGTTGTCCGCAAAGTATAGATGGGCAGAGCTGATGTCAGGTGTGCCAAGGAACCCATGAAAGAACCAAATGATGGTGAATTTCCAATGCTATTACAAGTTAAGGTGTGCATCTCGCTCTAGTCATGTCTCCATACCACGCTACATGTTACAAATATCGCCATTGTGATGATAATGACTGAATCGCACCACGGCCTAGTGTTTGGAAGGAAATTTCTGGGTTTCCTACTCCTTGAGATCCGGAGGCAAAGGTTGGCCGAGAAGCAAACCAAGAAAGTTCCGTAGAGGAAACTCTCCAGAACTCCCGTGGCCATAATCACGGCCAGCAGTGAATCGTACATGGGGGGATGAATTCAAAAAATGCCTACGATCTATTCCGTTGCAAAATGATCGGATTTATGCACAACAGTCAGCAACTGCCGCTGGCGGCTCAACGTTGCGGGTTGAGAGACTGCAGCCGTGAGCTCGGCTACGGGGATATGGGGGAGTCCAGGAACCGTAGTGTACATTCGTGCCTGTACCATTAGTTACAGCTAACTACGTACCATGAACTAGCCGATGTCGGTGGCACCCGCCAACAAACAACAAATTGAAAAAGTACATATTTATGCTGACTCTCCTTGACGTCGGGCCTGTAGAATTCCAAATTCGAGGACAGCTCCGTCCAGGATGTCTTCTTGCCCGAATCTGTGAAAATCTGTAACAATTTGGCGTCTAGGCGACACAACCGAAGCTAACCAGTAGTGGTGGGATTTAGGCAAGGACATGGACCTAGCCAAAGGATTTGGAATTGAGCCCAAAATATATATCTACACAGCCAGAGCTTCGGATGAGCGAGAGGTAATTCTGGGAAATCAAGCGGTGTTTGATCCGGGTTATGAGCGGCGCTCATTTTTGAACCTAGATACAAATTATTTCAAATTTCTGGAGCACTAAATTAAAGTTGTCTCAAGCACATTTCTCGTGCAGCTTGACCTGCACTCACTCCTGCCAGCTCGTCCCCGCACAACTTGAATCCCCCACAGCGTCAACTTTCTGATGGTAAACATTGCCGGCATCAGCCAAGCATGTACGTGATACAATTTCCATTTTAGGATACCAATTAATGCCCTCCAGCCGCGGTTTGGGACTTCAGTGCTGACCCAAGTGGCAAGATTGGGTACTGCGTAATTTGCCGAGATGGAAATGGTCGAAATACCGACTTTGTACACAAGCGCCATGAATTTGTGTGCACTTGCATCTCCAAGCTGATTTTGATCACATCCAGTTATGTCGACCAGCTTATTCTCGATGACCGAAGCAAATTCAAGCATCTGACCCCAGGCCCAGCTTCACTGCCTCGCGAGAATCTGCAGCCCTCCGAGTCGAGCGACAGCAGTCCGAGTCCGATGTTTGAGCCCTTGCCTTTCTGGTAGCCACTTTCAATGATATAATTTCAGTCCTAAGAAATGCGCTATTTGCTAGTAGGGAATACATGAGCAGTGAGCAGCAGTTTTGCGCATCAAAGGGACAGTTTTTAGCAAATTTAAACAGATGGAGAAGAATCCCCAAATTCCCGCTCACATCCGTCCATTTCTGCCGTTTTTTGGGTGGGCAGATATACACATTCTTGAGCATCCATGAGCAAAGGCGATATTAACTGGGGATTCTCAGCCATTGCTTCGGGGCTCCGTCTCTGCTACTCAAGATGTGTGTATGGTTGGGCCACCATAGACATATCATTGGCTGCTTCATTGCCAAACTCTTTCTTTACTTCGGGGACTTTTACGCTAGGAACACTGTCAAGCAAGTCATGATCATCTACCTCTGCTGCTATAACGCTTATTGATATCTTTGAAACATACTTGCGTGATATTTCACTTGGTTTTTATCGTACTGCACTCCATTCAAATTCTGAGTTGCCAAAACCTCACTGTACGTTATTTCGACTAATGGCTTGAGGCTTGAGCTCAAGTCAATGCCATGCGCGCGTGCTCAACTGTAAGATGATGCCCATCCTCATTCTATCAGGCTGCTCTCCATGTCATCATACAACTTAATTTTCCGCTTTCCCCTTCTCCTTCCATCCCGCACTGTTCCGCATTGCGGATGTTTGCGCATTGCGAGCAGGTCCAGATGCACTTGCATGTGACGAGTCCAGTTAAGTATGCTTCATGTTAGTCTCTTCTAAACAGACGCTACAACATTATGCAGTCGTACCTCGTGTGTTGTAGCTTCGTGTGCAGAGATCTTTCCTTCTTGAATCACACTGTCTGTCTCTGGCACTGGCCCCCAACTCGGACTGAATACTCTAACGCAAAATTGAACGAAGCAATCCTGCGTTATAGGTGGTTGCATCCGAATCATTTACGACAGGTCATAATTTTTTCTGTTTGGTATGTTGACATGTTATGCATATCTAAGAGGCAAAAATGTTGGCCGCCTTGGTAACAATACATCTCTGCAGTAAGCCCAGGACCCAGAATCTTTCCATGGAATACCATCATTGCACGCTGTTGGTTCATTGTGTTTGTCCAATTTCAGTCTGCTGAGAATCCCCCTCTCCTTACTTCCTCTCCATGACTTTGGTCTACCACACTGGCGCCACACTCCGGCAAGTCATCTATGTTCGCTCTGCAGTTCAAAACTTCGGGCACATGGTAGCGGGCTCTGCCGCTCGTCGGCCTTACCCGCCTTATTAACATATGCCATGCCTGCCATGTGCAGAAAACCTTGGCTGAGGCTATGATCGCCAACCCTTGGCTGCTGTGATCGCCAACCCTTATCACAAATCTCAGAATCAAATGGAATTTATATCCCAACTATGTCCTCCTTGGAAAGTCTGAGGAGGCACAAAGTTTTTTTATACCTCAAGATGGTGTCCACAATAATCCTGTATTTGTTCTTAATTTCTGTGGCCAGTTTTAAGTTGGGACATGAAACAGACCAAATTGGCTCTTATTTGTCCAGATCTACTTTTGTTCTTCACCGCTAGCACAACCTCATTTTTCAAATGACCCAAACTATAGAAGAACTTGAAAGCAACAAGGCTTCCTAGTTAACCCTCTGACAACGATTTAGACGACTGTTATATCCAAGAACAATGGGGAAGGTAGGACGGGTTTGGTTCGTTTTAATACTTTTGGGACTTTGGGGTACTTAGCCCTCGCTTACCCATCACATTTTCCACTTCATGCCATACGTGAAGAGGGACTGAACAGCTTTGTAACCGGGCGACACCGAACATATTTGTTGTGATATTTTCTTATATCAGTATGTCGAAGGAAAGACAAATCTTTTTTCACCCCTCTACCAATGGGCGAATCCAAACACCAAATCTTCCAAAGGTGCCATTGGATTGCGTAAGTCAGGGCATGGGCGACAGCACCTCTGAGGCTCAGAAAAACTGCTGCTAAATTCTTCATGTCCGCAGGTGCAGAAACACGAACTTCTTCCCTCGACGTTCCTCTCCATTCCCATTGAAGAATTGCCGGAATTCTTCAAAAATTTTGTCGCACATCGTTACCAAGGCCCACTTAGGAGGAGAACTAGCCGGTTTTCACCACATTTTTGCACTGTTTTCTTTGTCAAAATTAGTGTAGCTCAAATTTCGTTTCCTTGCTCTCTGACGCCTTCGGAAAGTAAAATATTCAGACTGTAATATCACCCTCACTGGGGTCAAACTCATTTATTTCACGACTCGTCACGTGAATAAACGGTCGAAATAGTACAGTATGCGAGCTCTGGGCTTGAAAGTTTTGGGGTGGACCGGTTTGGGGCGGTGCTGCAGATAAAAGCTTGCTTGGTTGTAAGGTGGCTTATCATTCGAAGGATGGGGCAAGGTAACTTATACATGTAGTTAACTGGATATATACGCAAAATGATCGCGATGTCATGTTTGATGTATGAAAGTACAGGCACTGACTGTCAGTGACATCGTGTACACTTTGTTTCTAATCTTGCTAATACACATACTGCCTAGGAGCAGGGAACGCAGCTGCAACATAGCTAGAGAGGCTGTTTGACGGACATAAGATGGTGCTCACGATCCAACTATGTCACCCGCGCAGCATTTTCCTGTTGGGCCTGTGCGGTCAATGACAGTCAAGACCGTTTGATCTCGTAAGACTAAGCATACGTACACTACAAAATAGGTGTTAGAGATTTTAATCAGTGTCGAAAAAAGGAAAATCACCTGGTTTGGTTTACCGACATGACCTTAATGAACGTGGATTAGAGATGATATATGCCGTTGCTGCTGAGCAGACTCACAGAGTGCGGGAGCACGAACTTCAACAGCAGCAGCACTGACCGCAGTGGGGCTGTGGACGAAGAGAGCGACGAGAGCAGCCACGCTGGCGAGGAAAAGCTTGGAACAATGCATCACTGCTTGAAAGACGTCGAGAGCTGAAAGTTGATTCTAGCGATGAATTGCAACGTACCCGAGTATATATATACCCTACGTCGGAGACAAAAGCGGAAACGATTGGGATGGTAATGACGTCCGTGTTTCACGCAGAGATTGCAAGGCTAGAATAGCATCCGGTGACACCAGTTTAAATTGCAAGCTCTGCATCAGTGGAGTCAACGTTATGGTCCATCATACCGTCGGCACGAGGGGGAACGTCACCACCCCGACATCCGTCAGGGTATAGAGGGGATGTACAGGGGGGATTACAGGTGTGGACGAATGGCGGATGGAGGCTTTTCCTCTACGCTGCCAAGCCGACAATTATCTATGTATGCCCCGCACTGTCATTATCATCCGTCGGAGCCGACTTTAAAAATAGGTGTT